CTAAGAGGAAAGTTCATAGCATTAAGTGCCCACATGAAGAAACTAGAGACTAGTCACACTAGAGAATTAACAGCACAACTGAAAGCTTGAGAACAAAAAGAAGCAAACTTACCCCAGAGGATTAGACGCCAGGAAATATCACATTGAGGGCTGAAATCAATAAAGCAGAAACAAAGAAAACAATACAAAGAATCAATGAAATAAAGAGTTGGTTATTTGAGAAAATTAATAAGTTAGAAAAATCTTTATCCAAACTAACCAAAATACAGAGAGAAAGAGAGAGAGAGAGAGAGAGAGAGAGAGAGAGAGTGTGTGGGTGTGGGGGTGTGTGTGTGTGTGGGTGTGTGTGTGTGTGTGTGTGTGTGTGTGTGTGTGAGAGAGAGAGAGAGAGAGAGAGAGAGAGAGAGAGAGAGAGCAAGCTAATTAACAAAATCAGAAATGAAAGGGAGGACATAACAACGGACACTGAAGAACTCCAGAGAATCATCAGGTCATACTTTGAAAACCTGTACTTCACAAAATTTGAAAATTTAAAGGAAATGGACAATTTCCTGGATAGATATCACTTACCAAAATTAAATCAAGAGCAGATAAGCAATTTAAATAGACCTATAACTCCTAATGAAATAGAAGCAGTCATCAAAAGTCTCCCAACCAAAAAAAGCCCAGGGCCAGATGGTTTCAGTGCAGAATTCTACCAGAAATTCAAAGAAGAGATAATACCAGTACTCCTCAAACTGTTCCACACAATAGAACCAGAAGAGTCATTGACAAACTCTTTTTATGAGGCTACAATTACCTTGGTAAATGTTGATTCCTCTGGAAAATGGGAATCAGTCTACCACAAGATCCAGCAATTCCACTCTTAGACAGATACCCAAAAGAATCACATTCATACAACAAGGATGTTCAACTCTGTTCATAGCCAGAACCTGGAAGCAACCTAGATGTTCCTCAACTGAAGAATGGATAGAGAAAATGTGGTACATTTGCACAATGGAGTACTACTCAATGGAGAAAGAAAACAATGGAATCTTGAAATTTGCAGGCAAATGGATGGAACTGGAAGAAACCATCCTGAGTGAGGTAATAAAGTCACAAAAAACAAACATGGTATATACTCACTCATATATGGATTCTAGACATAGAGCAAAGGTTTACCAGCTCACAATCCACATCACCAGAGTAGCTAGGAAACAAGAGAGACATACATGGTACCCCAGAGAAGGGTTAAGGAACAAGATCTCCTGAGCAAATTGGGAGCATGGGGAAGGAGAGAGGGAGCTAGGAGAAAGAGAAAGAGAGAAGAGGAGGGGAGAGGAGGACTTAAGGGAGCAGGAAGGTTGAGTCCAAGGAAGAATAGAGGAGAGCAAGATAAGAGATCCCATAATAGAGGGAGCCATTATAGGTTTAAAGAGAAATCTGGCAGTAGGGAAATGTCCAGAGATCTACAAGGATGACACCAACTAACAATCTAAGAAATAGTGGAAAGGCTACCTTAAATGCCCTTCCCCAATAATGAGATTGATGATTACCTTATATGCCATCCTAGAGCCTTCATCCAGTAGCTGATGGAAGCAGAAACAGACACCCACAGCTAAACACTGAACCTAACCCCTGGAATCCAGTTTCAGAGAGGGAGGAGTGATGAGCAAAGGGGTCAAGACCAGGCTGGTGAAACCCACATAAACAGCTGACCTGAACAAGGGGGAGCTCATGGATCCCAGACTGATAGTTGGGAAACCAGCATTGATGGGGAATGTACTACTGTGTATGTTTATCTTATTGATTATTGAATAAAATACTGTTTGGCCAATGAGACAGCAAGTTAGACAGAACTAGGAGTCAAAGAGGATTCTGGGAAATGTAGTAGAGAAGTGCTGATCCAGGCAGGAAGTGACATAGCAAGGAGACTCATATTTAAGCGAAAGAGAAACAGGAAGG